GCCATGCAGCCCAGAAAACTCACAGAAATCCAGTGGTTCCAGCCATGAAAGTCTTCGACAACACACTTTAATATTTTGTTTAGATGCTACTGTCTTTAGGTATGCAATACATCAGACCTCTATTACCTCTACGTACACTGGATGCAACTAATCCTGACAATCAAGGCAATCTGTTTTTGATTCAGCAGATATTACAGCATGCATGTTTCAGTTACCATGTAGTCAGGATGGATGCATTCCATATTATGGTGCAAAGTGAGGTAGGAGTTATCTTTGGTGGAGGAAGTGGCCCCTTCAAGATAATCATCCATGGTGATTTAAACTCTATTTTATGAACCATCTCCTGGCTTTCAGTTTAGAGATGTCTACAGCCAGCACCTTTATCTTCAGAGGGGAAATTTCATCCTACTTTCCTATGGGAATCAATGCCAAGTTGTGTTCAACCTTTGTAGTTTGAGACTGAGATACTGTAGAGCTCTCTCCGTCTCAGGGAAAGATCTTATGATTTGATGATTTTACAGATCCCAAATGCTTGGCTTAGTAAGATCAAGAAACCAAACATAAAATAGAAATCTGACTTCAATGAAAAACAATGATGCATATTGTTTTCCCTTCAGTAAAACAACCTCTAAGGCTCAGCCCTCTTCCTTTTCAGCACATAATAAACATGATGTTGAGCTCATTGGAGGAGGAAAGGATTGTTGTTCTGGGATCTAGGTTATAGCCTAGATGACAAGAATACCCATCGTTTCACAGATGAAAACCGAATTCGTAGGACCAAAAAATACCAGAGGGCAGTCAAGATGGTGAGCATTATTAACGAGGAAAAACTAGGTGGAGCCACGGGAAATTGCTGCAGTTTGCTTTTGTCTGAGCCTACTGGGAAACAGCAAGATGTTGCTGTTTCTGCCATCTCCTCCTTGTACTGATTTAGCAAATCATCCCAGAACATACCAACAGAACAGAGGAGCTGCTGAAAACAGGTTACCAAAATCAGTGGGAATTCAACTCATGTAAGTAGCACATATATCTACATATAGTAAGAGACAAAAACTTTTTCATCACAGCTGTTGTTACAAATTAATATATACCATCAAGTGAACCAAACAAAATTAAGCTAGAAGTGTGGATTATTTCGATACTGTAACTTCAGATTTGCAATGCATGTTATGATCAGACAGTCCTGGAAATACAACATCTGAATAAAGTTTGTTAAAGAGAGACATGGATAGCTACTACTAATCCCTATGTTTTGTCCCTATTCCTTTCTATTAATATACATAGAAACATGAGAAGTGGGAGAGCCATCAATAGTCCTGCATGTAATAATTGCAGAGGAAGTGGAGAAGATAACTTTGAAGTGTGAAGAAAAAGATCTACTTGACCTAGTTTTAGGAAAGAAAACTTAATCTGCTTTAGCACAGGGGTTTTTACACTGTGTTCTCCATGGCTAACATTTTGAAAACTTACAACTTGGCAAGTCAAATGGAGACCAATATCTAACATCTAGCCACAGCTCTTCCCATTCTTAGGAGTTTATCCCATGCAGCAAGCAAATAACAATTACAGCAGAACAATGGCATCTTTGGATGGGATTAACTGCATGACATTGCTCCATTCCTGGTTCTCACAGTGCGAGACAGCCTGGAAAGTGCTTCTGTTACAAACACAAGTCTGTTAAAGACCTCCTTTTGTGAAAAAAAAAGTCTTCCAATAGTATCCCAGTCAATGATGCTATTGTACTGCTTTTTTCATGTCAGGAACTACTTGAGAAACTGCAAGTTGCTTCTGGTGTGACAGAATTGGCTGTCTGCAAGGACATTTCCCAGGGGACGCCCGGATGTTTTGATGTTTCACCATCCTTGTGGGAGGCTTCTCTCATGTCTCCGCATGGGGAGCTGGAGCTGACAGAGGGAGCTCATCTGCGCTCTCCCCGGATTCAAACTTCCAACCTGTTGGTCTTCAGTCCTGCCAGCACAAGGGTTTAACCCACTGCTGTATTCACAATTTGCCGGCCTCATGTGATAAATGCCTAGTAAAGAATATTTTATGTATAGGGTGGGTATCAACTCATCTGTTCCTGCCCTCACTCTGAATTCTCAAAAGACAGAAGTAGCCAAAGCAGAACTGGGATGAGATCGATGTAAATAGCTTTAAATGGTCAATTTGAATATTTTAAGACAGGTCACTGAAAATACTGCACCAGGGATCCCCATATTTCTGGGAAATACTGTAAATTTAAGTGTGGAAAGAGAATTCTCGAATTTCAAAGAAAAAAATTACATATCTTAAAAATTTGTTTTTAATTGGGCTGTAAGTAGTTTCTTGTATCTTTGACTCATAGTACTCCATTTGGAAAACTGGTTTCTTGCTCTTCAGTGATTTTGCTGTGCCAGTTATTGTTATAATGACTGCTTGCTGCACTTATTTTATAGACATTTAAAAGCAGTATATCAATCATTAAGCAAAACTGCATATTTTCCATCCGGCCTCAGTGTTTTACCAGTCTTCCACTTCTATATGTCATAACAAATTCATTTCTAAGGTACTACCAGAACATGGTTTCCACAATTATTTTTCTACAAATGGACTCTTAAAAATATCTTTTTTCAAAATAATTAGAGAGAATTACCTTCCCTTAATGTACAGGTAATTAAAGCAAAGCAGATTGGAAACATTTTTCACAACTTCCCTTTATTTATTTATATGGTGCCATGGTGGCACAGCAGGTAAGCCACTAAATTGCAGAACTCACTGACCAAAAGATCAGCAGTTCGAATCCACGGGATGGGGTGAGCTCTCACTGTTAGCCCCAGCTTATGTCAACTTAGCAGTTTGAAAACATGCAAATGTGAGTAGATCAATAGATACCAACCTGGCAGGAAAGTAACAGTGCTCCATGCAGTCATGCCAGCCACATGACCTAAGAGGTGTCTACTGACAATGAGCACCACCCCCCAGAGTCGGACTCGACTAGACTTAATGTCAAGGGGAAGCCTATTTATTTATTTTCCCTTTGTGGAAGAAATAGGGTAAGAGTTCCTTACGTGGAAAAAAAATCAATCAACTTCTTCCTAAGTTAGAAACATCTATTTGATTTCTCTTATCTGCCATAAAATATTAATATGCCAACTAAAATGTATACTACACTACAAAAATGCCAAAATATTGTATTTTTTATGCAGATATTTAAAATATAGAGGTATGCTGTTTCTTTTTAGTTATTGTGATGTATGAATTACAGGAGAATTATTTTTGTCATTGAGTCGAGGAAGATATCTAAATATACACCTTGTGCTCCTTACGTGTGGTGATGGTGTGGGAAGTTACACAATGGACTATTGACATTAAAGATCTCATGCTTTTTGTGGAATTCTTGCCCTATGTAGCAATTAATGTTACTCATCCATTTGACTGACATCCAAATTGTGTCTAGACTTATAAAAATTGAAGGTTTAAACAAAATGAAACAAAAGAAACTCTATACACTGATTTATTCCGAAAATAGTGTAGTGGGCTTTTAAAAAGTTTGACATTGGCCCTCAATTTACAATACCAACAAAAGGACAATAGTTCTAAATATAGGCAAAGAAAAGAGCCAGATGTAAAATGGGGAAAGCATCCTTTTATGTTTGCTAAAACTTGTCAAGGAAGCTCAGGCTGCTCAAAATACACTTTTTTTTTACAGAACCCCCCCCCCCCCCCCAGAAAAGGTAGCAATAGAACTGAAGCATTTACATGGCAAAGGAAATCTGCGATCCACATACTTTAATTACTTATTTGTGGACTAAAATGACTATTAAGAAGCATAACTGACCTCATGCTTGATTTCCATAAATAAACAGTTTAAAAATAACGCTTTCTCCTTGCATAACCCACCCACCAGCTTTCCAAACTTCTTACAGACATGGAGAATCAACAACAGACAGTGTTATTTAATTAGCATGGTTGGTCTAAGGGTGATACCTACAGCCCATTCCCTAGATGTCCCATCAAAAGGCAACTGAAGGCATAATTTAGAAACAGCTAAATAGACTGCTAAAACTTTATCAGAGGCCCCTGGCAAGAATTATACTTGGGATTCAAAGGTCTGTCTTCTTACCTTTTGGAAAAAAAGATGAGCCTGTTCCTTCCAGTATCCCTAGGAAGAGTGTGAAGAAGAGGATGACAGGTCTAGAAAAAAACTGTAGCAACCATCTCCACTGCCTGCTCTTTAAGAACTGGAACAGATACCTACTTAGTTTCTGATCACAAAATTGGCCTCAGGCAACCAATGTGGAAGCTGTGCTCATTTCAGGTTACGTTGGAAATTGCCAAATAAAATAGGAGGATGAAACCTTTACCAGCTTTCACTGCAACATCTGCTTGAAATGCATGTGCAATGCAAAAAAAAAAAAAAGGAGGGAGGGAAATATGGGGCTGGAAAGAAGCTTGTAGGGGAAATGATTACATTGAATACTATACAAAATGAATGCTAGGAGCCTAACACTAAAGGTTTCTCAAAGATTTATGAAGGATTTTACCACTTTGACTGGTCATTCCAGATGCCAGCTGAAGTTACAAAAACAAGAACTAATAAATACTATTTACAACAGAAAGAAGCGGGGAAGGCAAGAAAATTTGAGCCTCCAGAAGTCCTGATTATATGATAAACCAGAAAAATTGAACTGGATTGCCAACAGTTTGTTTCCGGTGTCCCCTTCTCTTATGTAGAAGAAGCAGAGAAACTGAGCTTGCTCACTTTTTAGGAAAACCGGGGAAGTATGTCAGTCTTACAGTAGTACAAAGGAAGAGAACATGTAAAGTTATAGATCCCAATCTTTGGTCTTTAGGTGTTTTTGGACTTCAGCTCCCACAATTCTCAACAGCTGGTAAACTAGCTGGGATTTCTGGGAGCTGAAGTTCAAAACACCTGAAGGACCAAAGGTTGGGAACCACCGATGTAAAGGAAGGGGAAAAGGCAGAGCCAGGAGACCATGTTTGGTAATACTGGTCTCATATTCATGTGTTATTTTCCCCCACTACTTTGCTAATCTGAAATTAGGTCTAGCACATCCAGCCCTGTCTCAAAGGGAACAACTCCAGCCAACGCTGAACAGAGTATTCATTTTTCTCATGTGCATCCCACATTATGTACCATGAGTTCAAAGTAGTCCCTCTGTTTATATTATTTTCAGAACAGCTCTGTGAAGCAGATGAGACTTAGAGATGGTAACAAGTCCCAGGTTTCTCTGAAGGCAATGAGCTTCATGACCAAATGGAGATATTGGGTCTCCCATTTCTAGCATGACTGTGTATCCAGTGGTTCTCAACCTGTGGGTCCCCAGGTGTTTTGGCCTAAAACTCCCAAAACTCCTAGCCAGTTTACCAACTGTTAGGATTTTTGGGAACTGAAGGCCAAAACATCTGGGGATCCACAGGTTGAGAACCACTGGTGTAATTGCTTCACTACTTCATGTTATCATAGTCCCCATTGGTAGACAAAGGACTGGTTGAAAGGCGTGAATTTTCCCTCCTTCAGTCTATTCTGCACACATAGCTTTCCTGGTTAAAAAAATCTGATCTGCAGTAATTCAGACTACTATTTATTAATGTGTGCCCTGCCCTACTCTAGAGGAGAGGTTTGAACATTGTGTACTGCTATTTGAAGGATACACTCAAGTTGTACCATCATAACATATCAGGGAAATCATTTGGGTTTCTTATATCCCTCTCGTACACTATGACAACTAAAACATAATAACAAAGCAAGGGTGCATTTTTCAATCTTTACAGGGAGATGCCACCATGAGATGAAAATAATTGCAAATTCTAGTGAGATTAAAAAAACTACTGATTCCTGATGTTCTCATACTTTAGATTCTCATAGTTAATGCCATCTTGTTTAGTCAGGACTTTACTGGGTCTCCATTCACCACTAAGGCTGGATCTACCCTGCCCTATATCCTAGGATCTGATCACAGATTTTCTCCTTATCCCAGATTATTTGACAGTGTAGACTTATATAATCCAGCTCAAAGCAGATAATCTGGGGTATAGGGTAGTGTAGATCCAGCCTACAATTTCACAGAGATGCCATCTGGTTCCACTGAAGGAAGTTAGTAGTGCCATTCCTGGGGTTATGATTTTGCTCCACCAAATTGGAACTTAAGTAGTTAAGAAAAAAAATACCCTTGAAGCATTTTAGATATTTGTCAACTCATTGTTACAGTTCCCTGCTTTAAAAAACCAAAAGCACACTTGATCATGAAGGATACTGGAGGTATGCTACCCTTTGCCCAATCATATGATGGAGTTCCTGGTTGTATTCTGAACAGTCTCTGGAAGTTAATTCCCCTTTTACATATTTTATTACACTGTAAGAGAATAGAGACAAGACATCTACAATTTTTACAGGGATGCAAAGACCGCTTGGTTGTCCATTCTGTACTTCATGTAGGAGACATCTCAATTCCCATCCTATCTTCACCAGCAAACACCTTTTTTGGCACTTGCTGCCTTTAGATTCCTTCCCCTTGGGCGGTAGGAGTGAAAAGGCAAAGTGAAAGGTATAAATTGGAAAACTTGGGGACAGGGAAGAAAAGGACACAGACTGCAGGCCAAAGTCATTTTCCTGTAAGCGATTGCAGGGTTCAGACAAGTGCTTTGGATCGACTGACAGTGAAAAGTTCCTCAGACCTTTGGTTGGAAAGAAGATATGTTTCCCAATTTCAAAATTCTTTTTAAGATGTAGCATTCACTCTTCTGTCAATTTCAATTATCTTTAATGTTTCATTTGCGTCTAGCTCTGAATTGATTCTGCAACAATTAAAAATGGGAAAAGAAGTCAGTCTGGTTACTATAATGCAAACTACAGCATCTGCAAACAAACAAGCCCATACAAAATACTTCCTATAGTTATATTACATTACTTATTTCACTCTGTTATTATTACATTTATTATTTTACTCTATTATTACTGTTATTATCGCATTTCCATTATTTTATTCTATTATTGTCATTGTTATTACTACAGTTATGTTTTTACTCTATTATTATTGGAAGGATACGTAAGCACATTGACATTGAAGAAGGTTAGAATTATGGTTTAATCAGAGCTGGACAGTCTTATCTTAAATTACAGTTTTATGTAAATATTCAAAAACATTTAACCTACTGATGCCTAATTTTATTGGTATCTATTTTTATTTTGACAGTTACCAGTAGCTATTGCATTTCCCACCCTCGGCTTATACTCGAGTCAATATGTTTTCCCAGTTTTTTGTGGGAAAATTAGGTGCCTCGGCTTATATTTGGGTCGGCTTATACTCGAGTATATGCTGGTATATCAAATCATAGGATACTAGAAGTATATTAGCCAATCTTGACATCAAAGCTTTTGCTTGATTTGTTGTTCATTCCTTCAGTCGCTTCCGACCCTTCGTGACCTCATGGACCAGCCCACGCCAGAGCTCCCTGTCAGCCGTCACCACCCCCAACTCCTTCAAGGTCAATCCCATCCATCCATCTTGCCCTTGTTTGGCCCCTCTTCCTTTTTCCTTCCATTTTCCCCAGCATCATTGTCTTCTCTAAGTTTTCCTGTCTTCTCATTATGTGGCCAAAATACTTCATCTTTGTCTCTACTATCCTTCCCTCCAATGAGCAGTTGGGCTTTATTTCCTGAAGTATGGACTGGTTGGATCTTCTTGCAGTCCAAGGCACTCTCAGAAGTTTCCTCCAACACCACAATTCAAAAGCATCTATCTTCCTTGGCTCAGCCTTCCCTAAGGTCCAGCTCTCACATCCGTAGGTGAGTACGGGAAATACCATTGCTTTAACTATGCGGATCTTGGTTGCCAGTGTGATGTCTCTACTCTTCCCTATTTTATTGAGATTGGTCATTGCTCTCCTCTCAAGAAGTAAGCATCTTCTGATTAAAGATGGCTCTATATTATTTTGGCATTATGATGACCCTCTAACTTTTCCCTTCATCACCCACATTGGTCAGCTACAGGTTGCATCTAAAGATATCAGCTTTCCATTATATTCCAGCCATAGAAACAATTTTGAGATATATTTACCTACATTTTCTCCTCATTTAAGAGAGCTGTGGCTGTTTTCTCTAGAGCAGTGTTTCTCAAACTCTGCTCCTCCGGGTGTTTTGAACTTCAGTTTCCAGAAATCCCAGACAGCTGTTTGGAATTGTGAGACTTGAAGTACAAAACATCTGGAGGAGCAGAGTTTGAGAAACACCGCTCTAGAGAAAACAGACACAAATAGGGAACGTTTCATAATTGTAATTTGCAATACTGGGCTTGGCCTCATGTAAGCCGCCCTGAGCCCCCTTTGGGGAGATGGTGGCAGGGTATCACTAAAGATTATTATTATTATTATTATTATTATTATTATTATTATTATTATTATATAATTCAGGATGGCGTAAGGTGTCTCTCTTGCTTACCTGTGCTGCTGTAGCTCCACCAACACAGACTTCTCTAGCCTTGTCTCATTCGCTATCATGATCTCCATGACCTGGTCATGATGTGACCTGGCCACAGATTCCAAAGATAGGGCTGAATGTGTGGAGGCCTCCAAGTGCCTGTCCCAGTTATTGCTGCGATCAGAGAAGTGTTGTTCCTCCAGCGGGGGAGCCCCATCATAGATTAGTAGGCTTCTTGACCTCACTGTGGAGAAAAAAGGAAGGAGGTGGAATGAAAAGAAATCAGAAGCATATATGATGGGACATCAGAAAAGTTTATTGTTTTCAAGACGCATTCAAGTGAAGTGAAAAGAGTCTGCTCTGGGTTTAGGGTTGCCTACATATGAAATGATAAATTACCAGACTTTGGTTCTCACATGTGGTTGGATTAGAATAATCCCTGGCTGCTGTCTTCATGTGTTAGCAGCAATTAAAGTAATGGCCCAACAATTTTAGAAGATCCGAGATTGGGAAAAGGATGCATTCAGAATAACTACCGAAGGATGAGAGGCTTCTTACTCACCTATAGAGGCTGCGTATGATTCTGGTGTGGAATGTTGGGTAGGCAGTACTGCCTTTGTGATGGAGGAATTGGGACCATAAATCTGGGAAAAGCTGCCAAAAGTAATGGCGAAGCATAATACCACCACCTAGCAAGGAAACACATACACAGACAATTAAAATAAAGCAAAGACTCTCTGTTGTTGTTGTTGTTCTGCTGCTGCTGTTGTTGTTGTTGTTGTGTGCCTTTCAAGTCGTTTCCAAATTATGGTGACCCTAAGGTAAATCTATAACAGGATTTCCTTGGCCAGATTTGTTAAGAGGGAGTGAGAGAGTTTGAGTTGCTCACTGTCACTAGTGGATTTCCATGGTTGAGTGGTCAAGAGTCACAGCCCAAAGCTCAAAATACCGCATCATGTTTGCTCTCTAGAAAACCTCTTTACATAAGTTCATATCAGAACTCAAGCTAGTAGCATACCATTTCAAATAGGTTGCTGTGAGTTTTCCAGGCTGTATGGCCATGTCCCAGAAGCATTCTCTCCTGACATTTCAACCACATCTATGGCAGGCATCCTCAAAGGTTGAGGGGCCTGTTGGAAACAAGGCAAATGGGGTTTGTGTATCTGTGGACTGTCCAGGGTGGGAGAAAGAACTCTTGTCTGTTTGAGGCACGTATAAATGTTGCAATTGATCAACTTGATTAGCACTTAATAGCCTTGCAGCTTCAAAGCTTGGCTTTTCCCTGCCTGGGAGAATCCATTGTTGGGAGGTGATCATCTGGCCATGATTGCTTCTTGTCTGGATTTCCCCGGTTTTTGAGTGTTGTTCTTTCTTTACTGTCCTGATTTTAGAGTTTTTAAATACTGGTAGCCAGATTTTCATGGAGCAGCCAAACTTTGAAGCTGCAAGGCTATTCAATGCTAATCAAGGTGGTCAATTGCAACATTCACATTTGCCTTCAGCAGACAAAAATCCTTTCTCCCACCCTGGACATCCCACAGATATATAAACCCCATTTGCTTTGTTTCCAACAGACCTTACAACCTCTGAAGATGCCTGCCATAGATGTGGGGATTTTTCCATGTCAGGAGCGACTTGCAAAACTGCAAGTCACTTCTGGTGTGACAGAATTGTCTGTCTTCAAGGACGTTGCCTAGGGAATGCCTGGATGTTTTACCATCCTGTGGGAGGCTTCTCTCATGTCCCCACATGAGAAGCTGGAGCTGACAGATGAGAGCTCATCCACACTCTCCCCAGATTTGCCCCTGGATGTTTTACCATCCTGTGGGACGCTTCTCTCCTATCCTCACATGAGAAGCTGGAGGTGACAGATGGGAGCTCATCCACACTCTGCCCAGATTCGAACCTCTGACTTGTCAGTCATCAGTCCTACTGCCACAAGGGTTTAACCCAATGCATCACTGGGGGCTTGATGTGGGTGAAACATCAGGAGAGAATGCTTCCAGAACATGGTCATACAGGTGGGAAAACTCACAGCAAACCAATGATTCCAGCCATGAAAGCCTTCGTCAACTCATTTCAAATATTTTTCCCCACATCATGATGAGGTACATTAATCATTTGATAGGATCAGTGTAATTGTAGAGCTACAATGATGATTCCATGTAGCAATAGGCTTACATTAGTATGACAACTGCAGCCATTCTGCTCAGATGAGCTACTTGCTCAAAAAACTTTAAAAGGTAAGAAATCCATCTTGGCTAGACGAGACTGTGATGTGAATTTCAATGCTGTTTCATAACATCTCAGTGGGTGCGATCCCCTCCTACTTGTGCTGATGGACACCCATGTATTTAAAAAATTGGAAGTGTGAATGCTTGTGCAGGAGGGAAAGAATAATAAGAACATGAAAGGGATTTGATTGGTAGATATAGGAATAGCCATTTCAAAGCCATTTCTTCTGTTAAATTATTACAGTAAGGAAATGGAAGCACTTTCAGATTTGATCTAATATGTAAAGCTAATCTATGGGAAAATGGAACAGATCTCATGGACAAAAACGCTTCATAATGCAGCGGATAGAATTTTGTGTTTGAATGTTCTCTGCACAAGGAAGGGAAAGCTACAAAAATGTGGTTTTCTTCTCCAGCAAAGGTAATCGACATCGGCTTATCACATGGGGCACAACCAAAACATCTATTTACTATTAATTTTTAGTTTTAAAAGAAATCATTCAGGCATGCAATTGTAGAGAGGGGAAACCCACACAATAAATACAAGACAATTATTTCAGGACAGAATGAGACAAGAAAAAATAGACAGGTAATTGAAATTAATGGGACAATTTTCTTCTCCAAAATTGGCTTTTTTTTCAGAGCAGCCAGTCTCTGACTCAACATATTCTGTCACAAAGTTTAAGGTCTAGCCAGGGACAGCTCAACCATTACACAAAGTAAGCATTTGCAATATAGTTGATTTTGCCCAGGGGCGCTCTTGAGGCGCTCTTGGGGGAAAATAGACCTTGACATATGCGAGTTGTAGTTACTGGGATGTATAGTTCACCTACAATCAAAGAGCATTCTGAACTCCACCGATGATGGAATTGAACCAAATATGGCACACAGAACTCCCACGACAAACAGAAAATATATATCAGTGATTGGTTTTTTGGGGGGGGTACTGTTTGCTTACAATTGAAAAATTACCTAGGGCCGCCTCTGGGTCTAGCAGTAGCTAAGATGGTCAGGGGGATTCTGGGAGTTGCAGTCTAAGAAGGCAATATTTCAAAGCTCTGCCCCATACAAAGCCAAACACAACTTCAAAGTGCCAGATTCTGTCTTGGTTTTCATTAACTTCCTGTGCTCACATGCCAGAGGAATCAAAAATTTGATGTTATGGCCCCATGATACATATAAGTTGCACTTTGCATTCTTCTGGATTAGATCAGAAAGCAGTATACAGGGGGGGGGGGGGGCAGATATTGGAAAAGGATTGATTTTTTTTTTTTGCACAATCCCCTTGCTAGCATCAACACTGGGGCAGAAAAAAACGAAATGCAAAGATACAGAATGGTGGGGGGGTGGGTGCCTGGATCAACAGCATTAAAGGTAAGGTAAAGGTTTTCCCCTGACATGAAGTCCAGTCATGTCCGACTCTGGGTGTGGTGCTCATCTCCATTTCTAAGCCAGAGCCGGCGTTGTCCGTAGACACCTCCAAGGCCAGGTGGCCGGCATGACTGCATTGGCTCCTTCAACAGCATTACATGTGAAAAAGATATTGGAGTCCTCATGGACAGGTTAAACATGAGCCAACAATGTGATGCAGCAGCTAAAAAGGCCAATGGGATTTTGGCCTACATAAATAGGAGTATAGTGTCTAGATCCAGGGAAGTCATACCACCCCTCTATTCTGCTTGGTCAGACCACACCTGGAATACTGTGTCCAATTCTGGGCACTGCAATTGAAGGGAGATGTTGACCAGCTGAAATGTGTCTGGAAAAGGGCAACAAAAATGCTCAAGGGTCTGAAGAACAAGCCCTATGAGGAGCAACTTAAAGAGCTGGGCATTTTTAGCCTGAAGAAGAGAAGGCTGAGAGGAAACATGATGATGGCCATGTATAAATATGTGAGGGGAAGTCATAGGGAGGAAGGAGCAAGCTTGTTTCTGCTGCTAAGACGCAATGGAACAATGGCTTCAAACTACAGGAAAGGAGATTCCATCTGAACATTAGGATGATCTTCCTAACTATGAGAACTGTTCAGCAGTGGAACTCTATGCCCTGGATTGTGGTGGAAGCTCCTTCTTTGAAGGCATTTAAAGAGAGGCTGGATGGCCATCCGTCGAGGGTGCTTTGAATGCAATTTTCCTGCTTCTTGGCAGAGGGTTGGACTGGATGGCCCACAAGGTCTCTTCCAACCCGGTGATTCTATGATGTACCATAGCTCCTCTAGTTGCATGGCCATGCTACTGAGGATTCTGGAAGCCATTGTACAAAAGAAATAAAGAAATTTTCCAAATTCTAAGGAAATACCACAGAGGGGAGCAGCTTACCATGATGCAGGTCCCCGTTTGTGTGCTTGCAGCTTTACATGAGCGTGACACTTTGCCAGCCACCATGGCTTGGAGTCTCTGCAGTTGCTGCAGGAGTGTTCTGAAAGCAAGTGAAACAGCAATAGGAATCATAACGTATTGGAGAAATACATCAGGTAGTAAGAAGAACTGTGCTAGATCCATCCTACAACCAACCATGGTTTTTATAGGAAGCCTAAGCAGAGTTTGAGCATAATGTCATCCTCTCATATGCACCCAACTGTCCCAATTTGGCAGTGGCAGTCACAATTAGTCTTCAGTTGTCCCACTTTTTCAGCTGCTTTTAAAATATCCCAGTTTCTCTTTCCTCCTCCCACTTCCTGTTTTGCCCACAGTTTGCTTCATGTTGGCTTGCTGTGAATTTTCTGGGCTATATGGCCATGTTCCAGAAGCATTCTCTCCTGATATTTCAGCCACATCTATGGCAGGCATCCTCAGAGGTTGTGAGGTGTGACCTCACAACTTCTGAGGTTGCCTGCCATAGATGTGGGTGAAATGTCAGGAGAGAGTGCTTCTGGAACGTAGCCATACATCCCAGAAAATGTACAGCAACCCAATGATTCTGGCCCTGAAAGCCTTTGACAACACATTACTGCAGGTTGTTGCACACAGTGTTCAAACTGCAAAAGTAGTTTGCACTTCAATTAGCTCAGCAGGGGAGAAGGAGAATAGAAGAGAACCTTGTTCTCCCTGTAGATCAGGCAAAAGCAAACCGTTGCGATTTTACCCAGCGTGTGTGTTCTTCCTCATTAATACCTTTTACTACCTTGACCACACTCTGATTTTGCCTGACTATATGTATCAGATTTTTCATCTGTAAAGTGCTGGAGGAAGCAAACCTCAATGCTCATGTATATTTGATACTATAGCTATGGACTGCTGAACTCTCATTGCTTAGTGCTTATAGGTTTTTCGGGCTGTATGGCCATGTTCTAGAAGCATTCTCTCCTGACATTTTGTCTGTATCTATGGCAGGCATCCTCAGAGGTTGTGATGTCTGATGGAAACTAGGAAAATTGGGTTTATATATCTGTGATAAGTCCGGAGTGGGAGAAAGAACTCTTGTCTGTTTGAGGTAGGTGTGAATGTTTCAACTGGCCACCTTGATTAGCATTTGATGGCCTGACAGTTTTTAGGTGTGGCTTCTTCCTGACTGGGGAATCCTTTCTTTCCCCCAGGAAATAATAGTAATAATAAAACTTTATTTATTTACCCCGCCACCATCTCCCCAAGGGACTCGGAGAGGCTTACATGAGGCCAAGCCCAACAGTACATAAATAAACAAAAGCAATAAACAAAAACAATAAATGCAATTCAATTCATATACATCACATATAACACTAAACAGTAACACACAAGGATTTAAAAACCAAGTTCTTTCTCCCACCCTGGACTTACCACAGATATATAAACCCAATTTTCCTAGTTTCCAACAGACCTCACAACCTCTGAGGATGCCCGCCATAGATGCAGGCGAAACATCAGGAGAGAATGCATCTGGAACATGGCCGTACAGCCCAAAAAGCCTACAACAATCCAGTGATTCCAGCCATGAAAGCCTGCTTCGACAATACATTCTCATTGCTTAGCTTGCATTTGTCTATCCCCCCTCTTAAAGCTGCCCAAACAGGCTTCCATTTCTGCCTCTAAACAGCATATTCCATAGATTAGCTTTGCAGCGTGAGGTTGAAGTTGTTTTTCTCTACCCCAGCCCCCTTTCTTCTCATATCACTCTTATTCCTGGTCCTTATGCTCTGTCAGATGTATAGGATATTTTAAGATTCCGATTCACTGAGGCCTGTCAGTAATGATACACACTCTCCCACCCACATGAGACAGGGAAACAGCAACAGTTGATCCACAGAATAGCGTGAGCACCTAAGCAGTTTTATCCAGCATGACGTGTCCTTATGATTTTACTTACAAAGGAAAAAATGAGAAGTTGGTCCAAAAATAGAGATACCCAACACTTTAAATGGTACACAAGATTTTCTTCACATGCTCAGTACCATGTTTTAGACTAAGAGGGTCCCCACATACCACCACCATGTACTTCTAATAATGATTAACATAACAAATGAAAAAGCACTAATACCAACACCTATTTTTTTTTTAAAAAAGCACATACTTTTAAAGCCCAATTGTAGGACATACATTCCCAATGGTATCATTATAGCTGCATTTATATCTTCCTGTCTAATTAGAGTGTAAATGAATCCAAGGACTCTAGAAGTTCAGGCTTAAATTAGCTCCCAAAAAGTCCCAGTAGAGAGAAAGGTGGACAGGCTGAATTTTTTCTTAGAATTATTAAGTAATATGGCACCTACTTATGCTTTCCAGAGGGACTAAATTGGCCAATGTGAAAAAGTTGGATCTGACAGGCTTTGGGTTTGGGCCACGGTAGCTAGCTGCAGGAAATTTGTCAACTGGACAGTTGGCAGTTCAAAGCTACAAGTCGGGGTGAGCTCCCGACTGTCAGCCCTAGCTTCTGCCAACCTATTTATTTATTTTATAATATTTATATTCCATCCTTCTCACTCCACAGGGGACTTAGGGCCGATTACAATGCACATATACATGGCAAACATTCAATGCCATTTAGACATACAACATATATAGATAGACACAGAGGCAATTTAACATTCCAGCTTTTCCGGCTTCATGAGAGTATGCTTGGTTCCAGCCACAGGGGGAGCTGCTGCTTCACTACTTGTGACACTGGGTCCTTTGATGGAGTACTTTCTCATTCTCCTGCACGCTGCTGGAAGATTTTATGGTGTCGTAAGTTAGTTAAATTAGCCTCCCCGCATAAAGCGGTACCTAAATTTCCTACTTGAAATTTCCTACTGTCTTTCGGGCTGCATAGGTCGACAGCAAGCTAGACTATTAATGGTCGGGGGCTTACTCTGACCCAGGCTGGCTTCGAACTCATGACCTCTTGGTCAGTAGTGATTTAAAGCAGCTGGCTACTATTTAGCTGCACCACAACCCAGTCCTTGGAGTTCAAAAGCATGCCATGAAAGTAGATCAATAAGTACCACCTCAGTGGGAAGATAAAAGGGAGCCCTATGCAGATATGCAAAACACGCCAGTAACAGATCAGAGATCTCTACAGATAACAGGTTCTTAGACATGAAAAAATGGAACAAGAGCACTTCCCCATGGCTGGAAATTGAGCATCACCTCCAGTTGCCAGACATAAAAAGGGGAAGATCTTTACTTCTGTCTGTGTTACTATATGCTGTTGTGTAAAAGGCATTGAATGTTTGCCTCATATGTGTTCTGTAATCCACTCTGAGTCCCTCCGGGGAGATAGAGTATAAATAAAGTGTATTATTATTATTATTATTATTATTATTATTATTATTATTATTATTATTCAGTAGGGGTCCTTCCTTGAGAAGTCTCTGTACTGACACATCTGAAGACAAATGTAGGAAATCGATATGGTTTAGTGCATTGTGTCTGAACCAGCACTTAAAAACCAAGTGTCAAAAACTCCTTGCTTTTGAGGACACCCCATGGAAAGAACTTATTATGAGCCCCATCCCTCAGTCTTTTTTATCACTACTGAAACAACTAGCAAGGACATTGAAAAGTTTGTATTTTGGACTATAAGTCCCAATATCCCACCGCTAGTTTGGTCAATGGTGCTAGTAATAATTCTGATCCATTTTTCTTCTATCACATTACATGATCATGAATACATGAACAATGCTTGTACACCATACTGTGTACAGCAAATGCATGTATATATGCAGACGATACCAGGTTCAGTTATGGACACCTTTAAGTTAGAGCAGTGGTTCCCAAACTATGGTCTGTGGACCACCAGTGGTCCACAAGAACTAAAATATGGTCCACAGCCTCACCGTTACTGCACCGTTGCAATGAGAGCGACTGGTCTTGCGAAACCCTCTTATAGTGCCAAGCCTTATTAAATATGGTTTTCTGTGGGTGAGCAGATGGTGACTACTGGATGGCATATGTTCTGTATCAGAAACTAGAGCTGATGTGTTCTATCCAAAGCAATTTTCTGAATCAGCACCCCAAAAAATCAAATCAAATCTAAAGTTGTCCAAAAACTGATTTGTAACCCTTTCGGTACTAATGTTATAGGGAGATCCCTGATCAAGTGGTTCCTGGTCAAGTGGTACCCGGTCAAGAAAATGTTGGGAACCACTGAGTTAGAGCATAGTTGGTGCTGGGAAGGGCCATTTACCAAAGAATATGCAAAGTCAGGTCAGAAAGAACAATAATGGGCCAGATGGAAAAATAGTCGAATTCAGTATAAATCAGATCCAAGTGTTCCTAAAATACTCACAACCATCAAATCAATACAAAGAAACTGAGACGACAACATGTGCCTGATTGTGGCTGCCCTGCATGTTTAGACTGAAAGTTCTTTTGAACTCTTAATGCTTTGTTTGGACATAAAAGGTGGGAGGAGATAACTCAAGGTCAGAAGGCTTGCTCTTCCACAGAGAAGACTCTCTTCGGTTTATTAATAACATCTTATTTTGGCAACTCTGTACTGAAAATGGAAGAGGTGGTTGGAGTGAGAAGCCATTAAAGAGAAAGAGAGGAAATGGACCCAACTGTATACCTCCTCAAAGGTCAAAAAGACATTGGTGGAGTAAATACATTAATAGATTAACAAGGAAGAGAAGAGGCAAGAGTGTAAAGCACAAGCCCTGATGCATTCCATCTGCAGAAATGGCATCCTTCCACTCTTGGTCCAACACACTTTATGGGTGCAATTCAATTAAGGAATCACCTCCTCCAAAGTGCCTTATCTTTGTTTTTCCCTTGCCAATGAAACTCAGCTTTTTCACAGCTTTGCAGTGTGAAAATAAGTCTTCTGGCCTTCCACTTAACTTTTTCATTTAGCTCCGTGGGTGTGCTAGGTGAAGTGCAAATCAAAGGATTTAAACAGCTTCAGCTCAAAGACTTCAACAAACAAGACCAATAGTATTCTGCTTGACTCAATGCCTGACATGGACTGGGAAGACCTGGGTTCGGCTTTCCTTCCTGACATTAAGCCCTGGCACAATCACTCTGGCCCTAGAGAACATACTTTGCAGTTTTGTTCAGTGCACAAAATATGGAATAGTTCCATCTACTAATGCATCTGCTCCTTCAGAGAAGGACCTTAAATGTCATCTAATCCTCACTGTTGCCAATGCAGGAAATCCCCAGCTAAAGCAGCCTGGAGAGATGGCCACCTGGCTTCTGATTACATCCTCTAATGTATAGAATCGTAGAATCAAAGAGTTGGAAGAGACCTCATGGGCCATCCAGTCCAACTTCCTGCCAAGAAGCAGGAATATTGCATTTAAATCACCCCTGACAAATGACCATCCAGCTTCTATTTAAAAGCTTCCAAAGAAGGCTCCTCCACCACACTCTGAGGCAGAGAGTTCCACTGCTGAACGGCTCTCACAGTCAGTAAGTTCTTCCTCATGTTCAGATGGAATCTGAATTCGGGTTGTAGGAGCAACCCGAATTTGCTAAGGCAATCCTGTTCCACTGTTGAGTAAGCTCATCCCATGACTAAACAGAACACCTTAGGAATATGACATGATTGATACTGGAACAGACTACCTCAGAAAATGATGTCCCCTCATCATTGGATGTTTATAACAGAAACTGAGTGGTCATTCATAGTGAATTCTGTAATAGTAGCAATGTGCTGAGTTTATTTTAAAGCAGTTTAATATAAAGCAAGGTGCATGACAAGAGGAGGGGTGCCACTGCCATGATGTTAACATGTATTTGTGTGGCCGCAACTTTGGTAGCAGGATATTGAGTGCCACTAAAGTGGATTTAATGTTTTTGCCCATTCCTGGCTTACAGTTTCCACATACACAGGAACTTTGCTGAATTAATGTACAACAGAGAAAGCAGCAGGCAAAAACAAACAACTCATTATTTACATGGTCACTATTAGAGGAATACAAATATTCCTGTAGCATTTTTAATAAAATGAAGGATGAAAGGTTGGTGAGATTTCTAATTCACAGCTTGATTTGTGGAATAATCTAATAGAGAGAAAATAACCTAAAAGTTGTCTCTTATTGAAAATGTCAAAAGCAGTATTTATTCTGTTTTAATGAGAATGCAGAAGGTATTCACATGCAGAAACTGAAATGTTTTACTAGCAAATTCAAATAACAAAATTTAAAGATATTGGGGTGTTCTGTTAACTGGATAAAACTACTTCCCTGGCTTTCATTTATTACTGTGACAAACATACAGTATTCTACATAATGCAAAGCTTCAGTTAAGGCTGCTTTGGAGAAACCTGGAGAAAGGGTTTTTTTTTTTCTTTCAGAGGAATTTTTTAAAAAGCTAATGCTAGTGCAGAGTTTCTCAACCTTCCTAATGCTGCAACTCCTTAATACAGCTCCTCATGTTATGGTGACCCCCAACCATAAAATTATTTTTGTTGCTACTTCATAACTTCAATTTTGCTACTGTTATGAATTGTAATGTAAATATCTGATATGCAGGATGACTGGAAAGAGATCTCCAGGAACTTACAGAAGTCTAGTTCTCACACCCCCTATTAGCTCCTCACCATCACGCCATTCCTTTGGAGGACCACCTAGGTTAATTCTTGAGTGCCAACTAGGATCTCAAAGAAAGTTCAAGCTTTCAGATATCAACAGACGCAGGAACATTTAAGCACCTTAGCCTTCAACCTGCCAATTTCTCCTTACAAATTCTTCCACTGCCCCCACATTATTTCAACAAATATAAGTATGGGTCCCCATGCTTGCTATGGTAATACTGAGTTCTGCCTTGAGTACAAAAGTTGTGTGTGGGAGACAATGAACCCTGGGACTGCCTCCACAATATGAGATCTGGAGATTAGAAACAGCGCATGCATCCGATTAGTAATACATGTTGACTGCCAGTCAAACTCTACAACCACTTCAAGGCCTTTTATCATCAAAAGGATATCCCCATTACTGCCGCTTCTCTGTTATCACTTTCATCCGAGAAATGCATGACTACATTCTGCTATCTAGGTGCTTTTAAAATATATATGCCACATTCCTTCTATGCCACATTCCTTCACTACTCTTAAATCGGTCACAGTGAAGAAAGATAACAGAACTCAGACACACAATCAAAGAACAAAGCCATTCCTGGTAGAATTTGTTCTTCCCCAATACTCTTCAGGTAGGAAAGGCAGGATCATTGCTCGCTGTCCCTTCTTTAATGTGTAACCCTGCACTGGCTGCCTATGCAGGGGGAAAAGAGTTGGTGTATGACACACTCTGCAATTTTCAAGGTTTGTTGTATCAATGTTTTAAAAGAAATGTTGTATGCTACACTATATCATCCTGGAAAGAAGTGACAAGTGGAGTGCAGCAGGGCCTATTCATGTTCAACATCTTTATTAATGACTTAGATAAATGTTTCTCAGCCTTCCTAATGCTGCGACCCCTTAATACAGTTCCTCATGTTATGGTGACTCCCAACCATAAAATTATTTTCATAACTGTAATTTTGCTACTGTTATAAATCGCAATGTAAGTACCTGATATGCAGGATGTATTTTCATTCACTGGACCAAATTTGGCACAAATACCCGATACACCCAAATTTGAATATTGGTGGGGTTGGGGGGATTGATTTTGTCATTTGAGAGTTGTAGTTGCTGGGATTTATAGTTAACCTACAATCAAAAAGCATTCTGAACTCCACCAAGGATGGAATTGAACCAAACTTTGCACACAGAATTCCCATGACCAACAGAAAATACTGGAAGGGTTTGGTGGACATTGACCTTGAATTTTGGAGTTATAGTTCACCTACAATCCAGAGAGTTGTGTGGACTCAAACAATGATGGGTCTGGACCAAACTTGGCACAAATACTCAATATTCCCAAATTTGAACACTGGTGGAGTTTGGAGAAAATAGGCCTTGCCATTTGAGAGTTGTAGTTTATAGTTCACCTACAATCAAAGAGCATTCTGAACCCCACCAACGATAAAATTGGGCCAAACTTCCCAGACAGAACCCTCATGACCAACCAAAAATACTGTATTTTATGATGGTCTTTGGCAACCCCACTGACAACACCTCATGACCCCCCAGGGGTCCCGACCCCCAAGTTGAGAAATGCTCTTAGATGAAGGCATGAGCATCAAGTTTGCAGACAACACCAAATTGGGAGGGATAGCCAATACTCCAGAAGACAGGAGCAGAATTCAACACCAACTTAACAGATTAGAGAGATGGGCCAAAATTAACAAAATGAAGTTCAACAGTGACAAATGCAAGATACTCCACATAGGCAAGAAGAATGAAATGCAAAGATACAGAATGGGGGACACATGGCACGAGAACATTATGTGTAAAAAAGTTCTTGGAGTTTTTATGGACAAGTTAAAGATGAGCCAACGATGTCATGCGGCAGCTAAAAAAAATGGGATGTTGGCTTGCATAAATAGGAGTCTAGTGTCTAGAACCAGGGAAGTCATGCTACCCCTCTATTCTGCCTTGGTCAGAACACGCCTGGAATATTGTGTCCAAGTCTGGGCACTGCAATTTAAGGGAGATGTTGACAAGCTGGAATGTGTCCAAAAGAGGATGACTAAAATTATCAAGGGTCTGGAGAACAAGCCTTATGAGGAGTGGCTTAAAGAGCTGGGCATGTTTAGCATGAAGAAGAGAAGGCTGAGAGGAGACATGATGATGGCCATGTATAAATATGTGAGGGGAAGTTAGCTAGCAACTGCATTTGCTATGCCTCCCATCTACATCAAGACATGAAGCACACTAGGTAACATAAGGCCAAGAAACCTCACAGGGTTGTCCTGAAAATAAAATGGGAGGAGGAAAGGGAGAAACTATCTAGGCTCCTTGGAAGAAAAGCAATATATAAACATGATCATAATAATAAAACAAATGAATGCTTAAAAACCAGACTGTGTCCTTCTCCTTGTGATAAAAAAAATCAATAGCAGCAAGGATCTGTCCATGAACAACTCAAAATAATACTTATAAAATCTGCAGGTAATTCAAGAAAGAAGGCCTAGAAAAGAGGAGTCCAATAACTTTCTTGGTAGTTTTATGGCCTTACCTGTTTGTGTTCTCCAGCACTTCTACTTTCTTGCGAAGCTCACTGTTCTCATTTGAGCAGGTCTCCACCCTAGGAAATACATAATAAATTTAAACAAAGGTCTGAATTTGGGCTGGCAAAAGAAATTACTTCCTGGGCTGCGGTCAAACAAAGATTTGTCACCAGCCCTTTATTCTGACATCGGAAGCACAAGACAACTGGGAAATAAGTTTTATTCCACTGGTTCAATGATCATAGCACAGGTACTGAAGATACCCCCAAGAGCTTGGGAAATGTGGCAATTTCACTCCCAGAATTCCATAGTCATGCTTGGAGCCTGGGAGTCTAAAATCGGAGTAGAAGGATATCCTAGATGCATTGCAAGACAATAGAATCACATGGTTCAAAGAAACCACAATGGCCATCCAGTCCAACCCCATTTTCCCTTGCAGAAATACACAATCAAAGCATTCCCATCAGATGGCCATCCAGCCTCTGTTTAAACACCTGCAAAGAAGTAGACTCCAAGGCAGAATATTCCACTGCTAAACAGCTCTAACCATCAGGAAGTGCTTCCTAATGTTCATGTGGAATCTCTTTTCTTGTGGTAGGAGTCTTCAAAAGTCATTCCAAGTCAGTGCCAGCTTATCACCTCCCAACAAAGGATTCCCCCAGGCAATAAGAAGTCAAACCTGGAAACTGTTAGGCCATGAAATGCTAATCAAGGTGTCCAATTGCTACATTCACACCTACCTCCAACAGACAAGAGTTCTTTCTCCCACCCTGGACTTTCCATATATATATAAACCCATTTTCCTAGTTTCCAACAGACTTCACAACCTCTGAGGATGCCTGCCATAGATGTAGGCAAACTGTCAGGAGAGAATGCTTCTGGAACATGTACATACAGCCCAGAAAATTCACAACAAACCAGTGATTCCAACCATGAAAACCTTCGACAATACATTCCCCAAGTGCTATTCATCTCCATGTCTCTGAATAACTGTCATCTGAGTAGTATCTCTCAGTGTTTTCTCTCCATTACAGCCGCTAGAGGGCATGACACACCACATGCTCACACATGCTTCTAAGCCCTTGTAGCCATGTTGGTTCTCTTTCCAGGCATCCCACATCAGAAAAGGAACTATTTATAAACAGCTGGAAATCTTTGTAAACATACAGAGCCGCCTTTAAATAAGTCAGATGACTGGCATATATCACCAGCTTGCCACAGCCTCTGATCAGATTAGTTTTTCCAGCATCCCAGAGAAAACCTTTGAACCAGAGATTGAACCTGGGCTTCTTTGCATAAAAACCATCAATTTATGCATAAAAATCAGGGCCAGCTAATCACCTCGCAACAAAGGATTCCCCCAGGCAGTAAGAAGCCAGACCTTGTAACTGCAAGACCATGAAGAGTTCTTTCTCCCACCCTGGACATTCCACAGATATAAAAACCCAATTTTCCTCGTTTCCAACAGACCGCGCAACCTCTGAGGATGCCTGCCATAGATGCAGGTGAAATGCCAGGAGAGGATGCTTCTGGAACATGGCCATACAGCCTGGAAAACTCACAACAACCCATTCACTTTACCACTGAGCCATATATAGGTTATTGTACTTCCATCTATCCTTTCCGCCCCATTCTCGGCAATCTTATTACATGATGTATTCTGACAAGCTTACTTTTTTTCCAGGCTGTCCATATATTCTTTCTTTTTCCTCCTGCTCTCTTGGGCAGAGATCTGCAAGTCAAAAGAAGAGACTGTTTATAGCAAGTAGATGCTCCAGCGATACTAAGGAGAAGAACAAACAGTGCTGAAAAATAAATACAATTCCATGTCATTTAGAAACACTGACTTGAAGACACAAAAGAATAACAAAGTTGGCTAATAACACTACCTTGTTTTTGATTTTCCTCCTGATCTTCTTCAGTGCTTTCTCTTCAGCTTTTGTGAGGGGCAGTTTAGTAGGGATGGGATATCCTTCTGCTATCAACGTTCTCTTTTCTTCCTCTGTCAACATCAGAGGACCGGTGCCCTGAAGTTTCTACAAAAGCAACAGATGTGAAGGTAATTGATTAATATATATCTCTAAACAAAAGTTTAAAAAATACCTTCTTAAAATCAAAACCTTCAACATTCAACACAACTGCTGGCAAGATATGAGTATATACATGCACAGAGTCCCAGAGAAGAGAGATCAAAATCTTATGCCTCTACTGGCATAGATATGCCAACAATGGTGGTGAAAGTAGTAGCAAGAGAAAGGCGCCATCAGCATCAAGGGAAGGAAGACAAATGCACTGATGATGTTCACTGATCCAACTGGAAGCCAGACATCCATGAAATGGGCAACTCAAAAGTAGCATCCTTCTCATCCCTCTGCTGCTGCCACTGTCTATTTAATACCATATTCACTATAGAATCATAGAATCATAGAGTTGGAAAAGTCCATTAAATTTTAGCTGAGTTGAAAGTTCTTTGGACATCCATTCTGGTTTCTTTTGACTTCTCTTATTTTTCCTCCTTGTTGGCACTGTTTGCAATTTTTATTTAAGGAATCATTCACTCCCTTCTAGTATTCTTGCCCATGGAATCACACTCAGTATTCCCTTAAATTTCCCAAAGTCAGCTCTCCTAAAGCATGTCTGACTTCTCTTAGTTTCCGCTTTCCTGTGCATCACAAATTGCAGGAGAACATGGTCACTTCCACCTGAGGATCCCATTACTTCCACTCCATTATTGGCTGATCCCTTTCTTGCCTCTTCCTCCTTCTGGACAATAAAATTGTCTGCAAGACAAGTGAGGATTTTATTGGACTTTGTACTCTTGGCAGAATTTGTTTTTCAATAACTATCAGAATAATTGAGCTCTTCCATTACTACTACAGTAGAGTCTTGCTTATCCAACCTTCGCTTATCCAGCATTCCGTCTTATCCGATGCTTTTTCCGATATCCTCCTTTTCCTCTAGCATTTCCCCTTCAATTAAAGGAGCACTCCCCAACTCTCTCTCCATTCCCAATAAATGAAAAAGGCAAGACGAGGAGGAGGAGGGACAGGAGGAGGTGGAAGGAGAAGGAGGAAGACAAGAAGGGAGGAAAAGGGGAAAACAAGCAGGACAGGAAGCAGAAGCACCCTGACTTCTTCTCTGTGATTTCCACGCTCCTCTTCTACATCTGGGCATTTGGTGCTGGGCCATTCTAGCCCCGAGGCATTGACTTGCCCTAACCCTTTGAGTCCCTGTTGTTAGTATTCCAGGTGTCCAGCGCCACATTGGACAGGTAACAATAGGAGACTCCATATTATCTGACATTTTCGTTTATCCAACGTTCTGCCGGCCGGTTTATGTCAGATAGGCGAGACTCTACTGTATATCTCTTCTTTCTGCATGTTTGGTTATCTGTTCAAGGAAGGCTTCATCTAGGACTTCAGTCTGACTTGCAAGTCTGTAATAGACTCCACAACTACATTTTTTTCTTCCATTCTCATTCCCTTAATTCTTATCCAGACGCTCTCAGCCTGGTTGCCAGGTTTAAAGTCCTTTATCTTTTTGTAAGATTAAATATCCTTGACATATGTTGTTGTTGTTGTTGCTACTCCACCCCTCTCCTGCAGAGGATCCTGGCTCAAAAGCAGGTCTCTTCTCCAAAGAAATATAGTTGCAGATGAAATTATTCTTATTGAATGTTATCGACAAAATAAAATTATCTTGAAAACAGAGGAACTGACTAATTCTGTTTTTTTTAATTTTTTTAAATAAAAAGTATTTATTATGCTCTGAAATATGTATGCATACATCATAACTAAAACCAGGCTGAAAACTGTTACTCAGAGAACAAACAAGGCAGACAACTGTTACCCAGAGGACATTTTCTGCAACCACCCCCATATTGTGGAAATGACCTATTGGAAAAGACTCATCAGCAAGACACAGTTTGTGTTTAAAATAGTAATAAAGAGCACTCTTTTGGCTGGCCTATACAGATAATTTTAAAATTATGAATGTTAAAGTGAGCATTGATTATTTTTAGTAGGAATTGGTTTAATAGCACTTTTAACTGGTGTTGTATCTCTAATTTGTTGCCCTATCCAAACCATAAGAAGTGCAATCAATTCACCTCAATCTATATGGAGAGAAATGAATATTATTATTACTACTAGTAGTAGTATTATCTAAGAAGAAGCATTGCTCCTCTTCTGCTCTTAAGATATCTCTTGCCATCCATTATTAAAGAGGGTTGTATTACACAGTTTTTGAAACAGCAAAGAAGATCAATCACAAAGGCTCCTTCAAGACGGAAATATTCATCTGCCGAACTGTGAATATCCCCCATGCGCAAAATATTTTATAAATGCAAGGCATGAGGTGGGAGGAGCAGTCTTTACCCTGAGGTATCAGTGCCAAACTCTGGTCTTTTAGATGTCTGCATCTACTAAGTACTTGGATTTTTGCATTTCTGAGGATAACTGGTTTCTGTTAAGAGTTCCAGATTTAATCTGCTGAAAATCTTCGCCTCTAGAAAAGAAGTAGTTTTCACTACAGTCCTATTGTGTTGCACTGGAAATCAAAGGTAGTACATTAAGAAAAGAGAGAGAAAAGAGAGCACTGTCGAGCCGCAGGGAGAGGCAGGTAAGAAATTAAAATCATTATTATTGTTATTACATGTGGCGCTGTTAAGAGAGGGGAATTGGTGAGCGCTGAAGCCGAGCGTGAGGTCACTTTGACAGTGGCTTGCAACTGTGTGGGGCTTGATGGTGGGAGGGACCTGGCTGGGCTCTGGCTGCCTTCTGAATCGCTACCGTGGCTGCTGGGAGGGGTTGGAGGCATGTGCAGGGTGTCCACTGCTGCAAGAGAGACAAAACAAGGACAAAAAGAAAAACAGGAAGTTTGTCATAAACATTAGCAGAAACATTGATCTTGTTCAGATGTAGGCAATCTTATCCATATGTGTCTTATCCAATTAGACACAAAATTAGTCTTAAAGGTAAATATTTCCCCTAACATTAAATCTAGTCCTGTCCAACTCTGGGGTGGTGGTGCTCATCTCCATTTCTAGGCTGAAGAGGCAACATTGTCTGCAGACACCTCCAAGGTCATGTGGCCAGCATGACTGCATGGAGCGCTGTTACCTTCCCGCCAAAGTGGTACCTACTGATCTCCTCACATTTGCATGTTTTCGAACTGCTAGGTTGGCAGAAGCTGGGCCTAACAGCGTAAGCTCACCCTGCTCCCCAGATTTGAACCGCCAACTTTTCAGTCAACAAATTCACTGGTTTAACCTGCTATGCCACCAGGGGCCCAAAATTAGTTTTATTTGCCCACATTTTCTCATTTAAAATCTGGAAATTATTTTTTGGACTAATACTTGAAGAATCCTTCAGTCAGCATATGTATCAATTGGGGGGGGGGGGGAATTCTGGAAATTACAGTAATAATGTGACACTCCCAAGTCCTCCTCCCCACTTCTCACTCTTATCACAAGTGTGGTCATGGGGGGAAATACGTAGTTTCTCCAAATAATTTCCCTGTGACAACTGAACCAAGGAACCATAGTTTAAGCACTAGTATTTCCAAACACAATTTGCCTGTTTGCAAATAAATGTCAACCGGTTTAACAAACTAACATACATTTCTCAATGTCAAGTATATAAAGTAAGATTAAGAGATGAGATGGGGAGTTTTTTATACCAGAACAAATCCCACAGTATGTTTGAGCTTTAACAAAAAGCCAAAAAGTTTCAAAAATGCAAAAGAGCAAATGGGGAATCTCTATGGCCTATAATCATGCAACAGTCCAATTTCACATAACATAGAAGCCAGAGCACTGAGGGCATACCTACAGGTAAAACAATTATACAATTGGCATTATTGTAGCTTCCTCTCTCAGAAGCCCTGGGAACCACAGTTTTATGAATTCACTTTGTTTAGCCAGACTTTGTTTAAAAAAGGTTTTATGAATGTGCCGATGAACTCTCTGTTGATTTAAAACCATCCTAACGAGGAAAGTTAACATTTAATAATGCAATTAAAAGCACATCCACAGAAAACATGGCAAGGCAGCAACTACTAACACAAGAACTGGTATGAGTCTTATCTTCTCACAGAAACTCAACAAGGACACCAGAACTTCACAGATAGTCATCCCGCCCTGTTTGAGACTGAGTGCCCTGCTTTTGTTAGTCAGTATTAAGATAGAGTTATCTAACATACTAAAGGAACTTTATATAAGCTAGGATCTCTGAGGTGAAACTGTTGGGTGAGGAAGAATCACTTCTCCACTGCACCTATACATATCCAAACCAGGGAAGTACCATGGCCATGCTGCTTGGAGGAATCTGGGAATTGCAATATGAAAAATTAGCTTTTCCAAGCTCTAGTCTAGAACATACCCCAGAATAATGCCCGCTGTTGACCCCCCAGGGCCTTCTGGCTGTCCTGCTGTTTCCCCATGCATGTAAGAGATGACAAAAATAAGCAATAATCAACTCCACTGCTAGGTAAGAAGAGAGAGCTGCCTTTGATAACAGATAGTGCAGAGGGTTCAGCAACCTCAAGCCATTCCCCTCCATTAAAGGAAAGAGCTGTGTATTCCAAACACCTTGCCCTCAACTTTCTAAGTCCATCAGCATCCCTCAGATGAAGTGGAGAATGTACTTACATCAGCACTTTGGAGAATATAACTCATTTTTTGGCTGATCATTTTCTATAGACCAGGAGTGATCAGCTACAGAAGGTTCCAGGACTGACTTCTACCAGACTAATATATACCCACAAGTACAACAGTATGTATAGGTCAATAATCAATAAACAGGTATGAAATATAAACTTATATTGAATAAACAAGTACAAATTTACAATTATAATGTTGATGCTCCATACATCAGAATGAATATTAAACGAAACATAAAATTTTCTCTCTAAACAAGGAATCTGCTCCCAAGTTTTAGCACTGCAGAGAGTGAGGCCTTGAAAATCTCAGTTCACTTTGCCTCTTTTCTTCCAATTCCTAAATTCAGTTTCTAAATACTAAAGTGAAATCTTAAGCTTGATTATTATGCTAGCTTCCTCCCAAGTATAGCTTTCCCAGTCCCTGGACCTGAATGGAAATTATAAATTCCAACACATTCCCTTTAGATGGGAATACTGTTCTCCTGCTGCCTATAATATGTCAAAACATTGAGGATAAATGACAAACCTTCCTTTGAAGAAAGGTTGAGGAACTGATCCACTTCGTGTGGCTCCAATTTGATCTCCGGAAGAGCTTTGTGACTCAGCGGTTTAGCCTGAAGGACAGAGTTGAAAGAGAAATCAAATTTCTAGGCACCAGTCATTTTATTAAGGAAAAGGTCATAAGCCTGGTTATCAGTCGCTTGGGGCTATCAGTAATATCTAGAGACTATCAATCCAGAACTGATTTTCTTTAATTTAAGGGGAAATACAGCTATAAAAGTTATTGTAATTGATCTAAGACAGTGGTTCCCAACCTTTTTTTAAATCAGGGTCAACTTTGACCAGGGCCCACTTGACCAATGCCCACTTTGACCAGGGACCAAGGCTCACCAGGGACCATTTTGACCATGGACAACTTTGACCAATAACCACTTGACGGGGAACACTTTGACCAGGGACAACTTTGACCAGAAACAACTTTGACCAAGGACCTCTTAAACAGAGGCTACTTTGATCAAGAACCACTTTGACCAGGAACCACTTTGACCAGGGACCACTGACTGGGGATCACTTTGATTAGGGACCACTCTCCAACATTAGTACCAAAAGGGGCTGGTCAGCTCTGTGAAAAGGAGCGGAAATAAAATAAAACTCGTAAATAAAGAGGAAGGAGGTTTGCAGACTGGAATTTCATTCTCGTGGCCTACTGCTGGGCCATGGCCCACAGGTTGGGAACTAAGGCTCTAAGGAGGTAACATATATCTAAAAAGTAGAAGTCCTTCTGTCTGTATAAATTGCCCTTTTCTATAGTGTCCAATCGATTTATCTATACAAATCAGAGTGTGGTAAAGATACCTTAACAGGAATCATTCATGTTATAGCTGAAGGCATTTCATATGGTCATATTTGCCAGGCTTCCTGCATAGATCTAGTTGAGATTGCAGGACTGTTGTTATTGTTCAACATGGAACAGTTCCCGAGAAGAACAGCAGCAAATCAGTCTTCTGTTCTTTTGTTATTGTTCTCTACTTTCAGGCTGACCTCAACTTTATATTGTCTTTGCCTGAAGGTTATTGTAAGTTGAAAACAACTTGAGTTCATACAACAATAACAACAAGCAGTTGACTGGAGAGACACCAAATAGCCACTGTCACAGTAGACAATCCCTGGGCTAGCTGGTGAAGTCCTCTGTCCTAGGATGAAGTTTATCATCAACTTTCCCAGTTCAAAGACTGACTATCAAAATACATCGTACCATGCCATTATCTTGTGTCTGGGGTTCTTCCCCTTCCAGAGCTATGGGAATAGGGGTGGTGGTGAGGCTGATGGAGGGTGCAAGACCCGGTGCTTCTCCCATAGATGGTTCTGTCTTTACAGTGGTTGATGTAAGTTCTGAACCCAGGCACCAGTCTTCATTGTCCAAGTCAGCTAGAAGGTGAGTAAACACAGAAGGTGAGGAAATCAGCAGCCAGGACAGACAGATTTTCATTATAACAGGGAGGAAGAACAAAAAGCAATCTCAGCCAAGGAGAAGAAACCCGGGGAGACACCATTTAACTCATTTAGCCAAGCTTTCTAACTCCCCTCCCAGGCTGTTACTTCTTGGAGAAACCTGGGGCTTTAAACTGCAGCCTAAACATAGCCCTGGGGTGAAGGTGGATTGGTTGTGAACTGAAAACAAGATAATTACTGAAAGCTGCTACCAAAGAACTAAACAAGACTAAACAAGTCATTACGCAAAGCAGCTGGGGGTCCACACAAGAGTTTGTGCTAACAGAATGCACAGCTTATGTCATAATTTCTGTCGCTGGCTCTGTGCCTTCACATTACTCCCAATACTTGATTGAAAATCACTTAGAAAGCAAGATCGTTCAACACTCTGAAAATCAGGCTGGTTCTTTAACCCACTTTATTCATCAGCAAATGAATAGCTTCACAGCTCCTGAGGTCTCCCAACTTTCTACATCAGCGCTGGTTGACTCATACGCTCCCCCTTTTTAAACAAAAACTACATAAATAGTGTACCTCCTTCCAACTGGAGATCCTTCGCCAGCTGAGTATGGAAGTTATAGTTCAACCCTAAAGATAGGTGCCAAAATAGGGAAGGCTGTTCCCAATAGCATTTTCCCCCCAATGGTAACCCAGTAGAATGTAAAGCAAACCCAAAACTGAACAACAATTTAAACTACAATTCTGTTCATGCAGTGGCCAACCAATTAGCTCACAAGCAAACAGGAGTAAACTGCATGTTCCTTCTAAAATTTTCAGCATATTGCTTCCATTACTACAAGTGACTTAAACAACTACCCTGATTACTAGACATCAGTAATCTATTTCCCTCGTGAATTCATCCAATCCCCTTTGAAAAGTGTCAATGTCAACAGTCATCACTACTGCTGTGAGTTTTCCAGGCTGCATGGCCATGTTCCAGAAGCATTCTCTCCTGATGTTTCACCCACATCTATGGCAAACATTCTTGGAGGTTGTTGGAAATTAGGCAAGTGAAGTTTATATATCTGTGGAATGTCCAAGGTGGGAGAAAGAACTCTTGTCTGCTTGAGGCAAGTGTGAAAGTTGCAATTGGCCACCTTGATTAGCACTGAATGGCCTTGCAGCTTCAAAGCCTGACTGCTTCCTGCCTGGGGGAAAGACAAATCAGGGCAGAAAATAAAAAGCAACACTCAAAAAACAAGAATTCCAGACAGGAAACAATCAGGGCCACTGAGTTGTTGTAGGTTTTTTGGGCTGTATGGCCATGTTCTAGAAGTATTATCTCTTGATGTTTCACCTGCATCTATGGCAGGCATCTCAGAAGTAGTGAGGTCACCAGGGCCAGCTAACACCTCCCAACAAAGGATTCCCTCAGGCAGGAAGCAGTCAGGCTTTGAAGCTGTAAGGCCATTCAATGCTAATCAAGGTGGCTTCCTTTTCTCTGCACTGAATCTTTCACCATTCAGTTTGTTGACTCCCAGGTCTTTTCGTAAGAGCAAAGAAGCAGAACATTTTTCCATCCATCTGTTTTATGCATAGTCGACCTATATCCTAATATGTCTCATTTTTTCCCAAGATGCACAGTGCTTTGCACATAGATTATGATAGATGACTCAATAATCCAAATTTGTATAAATTTTCCTCACGAGGGGGCTGTTCTTCTCCCCCAATCATTTCCCTTTAACCACTTTTTTCCTGCATCTTTTCCACTTCTTTTTCTTCTAGGACGCACAAAAGCAGGAAATGAATGCCACGGGCCTCTTCACCAATCTAGGTACCATGCACATCAGCTGGATATAAATTGCCCCTGAAGGTGGAAACTCATTTGTGTTATCCAAAGCGAATAGCCACTGAAAACTCCCTTTGTCAAAATATATTACTGAAAAACCATATCAGGGCAGCCTGTTTTCCTCTCTTCCAGCCAACAAGTTTTCTTTACCAGGATTGAAATACACAGAAAGTGATGAATACTCTTGCCCAACTCCAGGAGAGCCGGCATTTATTGCAGCACAATGCAATTACACAAAGCTATAGCCACAAAGGCAGCGGGGAAAACTAAAATCAAGAGCAAAATCATTGCTGTGGTCCCCCTTCCAGCCTCCTGTGCCTGCAGCCTTCAATTGAGCAACAGGGAGGGGGGCATGTGTATATCTGATGCTAGTAATTACTTTGTGGTGTAATCTTAACCTTCACTGCTGGCAAAGGAAGATATAATTTGAATAACGATGGGCCAAGCCAAAAAGATTATGAGCAAAAATAAATATGTACACATCCTGTAATCAGACACTTCAAAACAGTAATCCAGGCTCTGCCAAGAAGGATAACTGTATAACAAACGATAACTATAATTTCTCATACTATAGCCTCTATGTTCAAGAGATTCTTGTTCATTTAAACATATATATAAGAAGACAAATTTCCTGGAAGAGCCAACTGTTATGTATGCCAAAGACAGGACAGTGGGCACCAGGAACCTCTTTTATTTGCTACTAGCTGTCCCCTGCCATGCATTGCTGTGGCCCAATCTATGTATAAGAGTTTTGTGTGTATATATATTTGTATATATATATGTGGTTTTGTGCATGCGTTGTAATTTTTGTTTTTGACTTTTAAAGTTTTTTCCACTGTGTTTCTCAGTATTTTTATGAGTGATGGTTGCTTGTTGGCCTGATAGGTATATTATGTCCAAATTTGGTGTCAATTCATCCAGTGGTTGTTGAGTTATGTTAATTCCACAAACAAACATTTTTTATTTATATAGATTAATTAATATCCTTCCGCCCTCATCAGAAGTTAAATCGCATTTACCCCCCTTTCTTTGGTTCCATGTGCACGATGTTTTTATGATGAATATAAATTGCCATGGTCACATTTTTTGTTTCCATATGCATGATGTTTTATTAAGAATATAACAGACTGCTTTATACCAAAGTCAAATTGCCCATCTATCTCAGTGTTTCTCAACCTGGAGGTCGGGAGCCCTGGGAGGGGGTCGTGAGGGGTTTCAGAGGGGTCACCAAAGACCATCACAAAACACATATTTATGACGGTCTTTGGCAGAGAAGGCTGATGATCTCTTCACCAGTCCTTCTCTTCCTTTTTGGAAACAGACATGAATCTTCCCACCAAAAGCCCTCCACCTCCTGTGATTATCCAGCCTTTCAATTGGCCTCTCAGCCAAGGGGAAGGCTGTTTCTGAGACTCCAAGTGGGGAGGGGAGAGCAGGCATGCTCAGCACATGGCAGTGTAGGGCAAATGTGCAGGTGAGGGAAAGTGTGTGAGGCTGGAGAAAGGCTTGAGTCCCTTCAAGGCATGGGGGAACTACCACTCCAAAATTCAACATTAATGCCCACCAAACCTTTCAAGTATTTTCTGTTCATCATGGGAGTTCTGTGTGCCAAGTTTCATTCAATTCCATCATTGGTGTTCAGACTGATCTTTGATTGTAGGCAATCTATAAATCCCAACAACTATAACTCCCAAATGACAAAATCAATCCCCAACCCAAACCCACTAGTATTCCAATTTGGGCGTATCAGGTATTTGTGCCAAATTTGGTCCAGTGAATGAAAATAAATCCTGCATATCAGATATTTTGTACATTATGATTCATAACAGTAGCAAAATTACAGTTATGAAGTAGCAACGAAAATAGTTTTATTGTTGGGGGTCACCACAATATGAGGAACCGTATTAAGGGGTCATGTCATTAGGAAGGTTGAGAACCACTACTCTAAGAGTTAACGGGCATATTAAAAGTACATGCACATGCACACCATGTGTAATGTTGGTATGCAATGGAATATGTGAATGTTATGTAGCTGTACATTCTAGAGATCTGCAGCTCAAACATTTTAGGTGTTAGCAATGGAAACAGTAATATATTCACCAGAAAGGATAGTGTGTCACTTTTCTTAAAAAAAAACAACAATGCTCCAAACTCTAATATAAGATAGCCAACATACAACATCCTGCTTTTGCTCCCTTTTATTACTGTCCTTAGCAGAAGCTTCTTTCACCTTGAAATAGACTGGTTTTGCTCTGGGTGCCATGCCCAACATCTTCAAATGACGTGCCAAAGGAGGAATTGACTTCTTTTTTTCTGCATCTGCAATGCTAGCCTCCCAGCTCAGTCCCACCAGGTGAGAGGCAGCATTCATCTACAAAGGAACTGACTGTTGTCCAGGGACAGGGGTCCCTCTCCCACCCACCGCCTCCCCTCTTTCAGCTCTGGCTACTGCAGCAGATAATGAAAGGCAAGCTGTTGGTTTGCTCCTGACAAAGAAAGGACTGTGCAGCAACCAAACACTGAAACCATTTTTAGACCATCAGTGTGGAAAGACTGAACAGAAAGAGGGAGTGTGAGGAAGTGGAATGCAAGAGTATGAGTGAAATAGCCACTTTTAAAAGCTCTCTTTGTTTTAAGGATGCTCACTACTCAACTGCAATCACGGAGTTTTCAAGGGTTCAGCCCTGGAATTTGCTTTCTACACCACGGCTTATTTTTCATACGGGTTAAGAGTTTCTCAACACATGTATGGTGCCTTTCTCCCCATTTCAGCACTGGGTAATGACAGGATGTTTCTCCAGTTTCTAAGACTGAGGGGCCAAGAAAGCCCTGAAGTCTACTTATGTATTCTTTGATGTTGCACAGTTGAAAACTGGGACACATGTGGTCAAGCAACATTATAGTGTGATCAAGATATCAGGACAGGAAGGAGAAATGGAAGATAGCAAAAGACATTTTAAAAGCAGTTGAAAATGTGGAACAAAAGAGGTTTCATCACTACCCCTGCCAATTGAGAACAGTTAGAGGCTATCTACCTCTCTCTTTTTTTACAAATGTATAAATTAGTAATATTTCATTATAAAGCCAAAAAAGTGCTTCACAATCATGCAGCTTTTTTAATTCAAAAAGATACCCTCTGCTGCTATTG